CCCGAGACGCTTAGCTAGATGTATTATTTTTAACTTTGTCGATGTTGACAGTGTTTATGTATTGCTGATATCGCGAAACAGCGTGACTACGGGAGCCCAGAGACGCGAACGCTGCCTTGAGACATGAGGTCCAATTGCCAATTACATGACGGTTATTCTATCTCTTCTTTCTTCTATCAGGTCAATTGATGCAGGTCTTCGGTAATTGAATAACAACAGATGGGCCGTGTTTGCTATAGAAATAGGCTGAATTTCTGGTGGCAGGGCCTCTTGTGAGTCCGCGCGGGTAGGTACCATCACCCTGCCTATTTCTGCCGTGAAGCAGTAATGCGTTTCGGTTTGAAGGGCGGGGCAGCCGTTGAACTGTATAAACTGAGACGTAAAATTCATGACTCAACGGCATTTAGTTGTAGATGTCTATAGGCTTCGGTAACTACTTATCACCAGATGGGCCATGAAGCAATAAAAAAACCTAAACACATAGGAGCAGTCCGGTCTAAAACCGCTATTACTCCTCCAAAATTGTCTAGTTTTGGAGGAGTAATAGTTAAATGCATTAAATAAAGTAGTAGTCTGCGGTATGCAGCGGCTTCGCTCGGCCCCTGGCATTGCTGAAGTCCATGGGCGACGGTAACCACTCACCATCAGGTGGGCCGTATGCTCGTCTGCCTACAAGGGCAATAAAAAAAAATCGTTACTACACATCACAAATAGGTCTTCATTCGCTTCAAAGAGTTTTAAATAACCCGATTTTTCGATATAAATTGACCAACAGACATGTCTTGTTCAAGTTATTTCTGTTCGACTTCATTTATCGATTTCTTTATTCTGGGATCACGGACGCGACGGCCCCTATATATAAGTATATATGTAAACGAGAAACGGCTCTATTGCCAATATACGTTTGTATGTAGATAATTTGTATTTATCGCAATCGTTAAAGCTCAAATTTGTCCGCACGAATTACGGAATTAGGCTTCCAAGAATGTGACATGTACAATTGGACGGTCGCATGTTAGGTAACGGTGTTGATAACATACCGATGGTAATGCATCCTTTACTGGTGGTAGGGTAAATCGTGAACCCGCGATGAGTAGGCACTACCCTGCCTATTTTTGCCGAGAAACAGTAATAATGCTGTAATTTACAGTAATTTACTGGTGGTAGGACCTTCTGAGAGTCCGCGCGGGTAGGTACCACCACCCTGCCCATTTCTGCCGTGAAGCAGTAATGCGTTTCGGTTTGAAGGGTGGGGCAGCCGTTGTAACTATACTTGAGACCTTAAAACTTATATATCAAGGTAGGGGGCGCATTTACGTTGTAGGTGTCTATGGGCTCCAGTAACCACTTAACACCAGATAGGCTGTGAGTTCGTAAGCGATAAAAATAAAAGATAAATAAAAAAAAGATAGGTGACAGTGAGGCTTATCAGAAGTCACTCGAGGTGCAATAATGAGGACTTTCCTCAGAATTTCTCTCAGAAATCGAATTATGTATGAGAAGATTTGTAGAAGAACCAAGGTAACTGACACAGCGCCGAAATATTCCGCGGTCAAAATGACAACGGTTAAGGCATTTCGCTTGTGAATGTGATGGCCACTGGCCGCAAATTTACTCCGCACACCGAAAACAGCTTAAGTAAACTACCCACAATTTTTTTATGACTTAGATGGGTGGACCAGCTCACAGCCCACCTGGTGTTAAGTGGTTACTGGAGCCCATAGACATCTACAACGTAAATGCGCCACCCACCTTGAGATATAAGTTCTAAAGTCTCAAGTATAGTTACAATGACTGCCCCACCCTTAAAACCGCATTACTGCTTCACAGCAGAAATAGGCAGGGTGGTGGTACCTACCCGCACGGACTCACAAAAGGTCCTAACATCAGTAACCAGTTCTGCATTCATTAAAAAAGATGTGTGGTGTCGTGGGACACCGGATAGGAACAAAGTTCCTTATTATAAAAATACTAATTTTAAGTTCTATTCGAGGTATAAAGAAAATAAAACTGGAGGCTTCGCAACAACCCACGGTCATTCGGTAACGTGCGAACTTATTGTGGTACACTTCATTCACGGTTGTTTACATACGAGTTAGTGTATTGCGCAAACGAACGCTCTGAGATCGTGGTCAATGAATGATAAAAAAACATGTTATCTTTTGTACGTTATTACAAAGTTAAGTCGTACACTGTGTGCATTACTACATAGTATAAAACAAAGTCGTTTTCTTTGTCCCTATATCTGTCGGTCCTTATGTATGCTTAAATCTTTAAAACTACGCAACGGATTTTGATGCGTTTTTTTTTAATAAATAGAATGATTGAAGAGGAAGGTTTACATATATAATAACACCATTAAATAGTGGAGAAATCAATAATAAATTACAGTTTCCGAAGCGAAGCGAGGGCGGGTCGCTAGTTACTAATAAAAATCTTACGTTACGGACGTTTTTTGCGATTCGATTATTGAAAACTAAAGAAACACATTCGTTAGGATAATCGAATAAAGCTTTCGTTTGGCTAATTTATTCCGACGGCATAATTGAGTTACCCCGAAATGCCCCGCCGGGCGACAAATAATTCAGACAACGCGGCCGCAGATCGAAACACAGACAAACAATTTGTTCAATTATAATTCGATTGTGTGAAGCGTTAAACAAGGCATACATTTTTTTATCGAATTTCCATTAAAATTTTTCAATTTCCAGTGAATTATTAACGGCTTCGTGTGATATGCTTCAAGTTTTAAGTTTTTCGTGTTTCATATTTTTTTTCTTTATTGCTTAGATGTGTGGACGAGCTTGCAGCCCACCTGGTGTTAAGTGGTTACTGGAGCCCATAGACATCTACGACGTAAATGCGCCACCTACCTTGAGATATCAGTTCTAAGGTCTCAGTATAGTTACAACGGCTGCCCTACCCTTCAGACCGAAACGCATTACTGCTTCACGGCAGAAATAGGCAGGGTGGTGGTACCTACCCGCGCGGACTCACAAGAGGTCCTACCACCAGTAGAAAACCAGTCATATAGCTCTCTATGTAACTATAGGGATGGGAAAAATTGGTTTATTTATTTTAATGTCGAGGATTGAAAGACTATTTGGTTTAAGCGAAATTTCACTTAATACGCGACATTTATCTTTAATTGCAATTAAAGGTCCGTTTTTTTTGGTGTTAGTATCAACAATTCGATGTTTTTAATTGAACTTAATGAAGTTCAAAAAAAAACTTCAGTGTAAGTTTTTTTTGTTACAATATTTTTTACCAAATTTTAAACATAAAATGACTCTCCTGCAATGCTGCAGAAATTTCACCCTTATAATATACCTATATTATAATATACCTATATAATATGCTGCGTATTCTGAAAATTTACGGCAAGCTGAATCTATAGAAAAAATCAGTTTCCTATACAATCGGAAATTGCCTTAAATATCACTGCGAAAACTTTTTGGTATTGTTTTTCATTGTTGTTACACCTTATTTCAATTTAGATCCTCAGCTAGCAAACAAAACCTGCTTATGGAACTCCAATCCAAAAACGAGACAAAAGCAAATATAATCAGAACCCTAATGCTAATATCATTAAAGAAGATATTAACTCCGCCAGCCTAGCCAGTAGTCAGCGTTCACTGACCAACAAATCGATCGATTAGACATTTAAATACCACGTACGAGGTAGATTAAAGCGTGTCGAAAGACAACAGACACTAGTTCATCAATAATAAGGTCCGAAAATTAGCAGAGTAAAGTAATATATAATAGAAGATATCTATACTTGATACTATAAAGAGGAATGATTTGTTTGTTTGTCTTGAATAGTCTCCGAAACTACTGAACCGATTTAAAAAATTCTCCCACCGTTTAGAAGTTACACTATTCCCCAATGACATAGGCTATAAATCTTTATTGAAACATATTAGGGATCCTTACTAAAACTCCAATAATGTAGCCTAAGGTGTAAAAATATTACCAAAAATATTCTTTACATCACGTGCCCTGCGAAAACTATTGATGATAGAATTAAATAATATACTACGACTTTGTAGAACACATTATTATTTACAAAAAGTGTCGCGACAGCATATGTCTCACTATTATAGTTATGCCGCAAAAAGTGTTCTTTTAGTTAAAAAAAATAAAACAACGGCAAATATTATTGAAATTTTTATTAAAGACCCGAGCGTAGCCGGAGTGGGCCGCTGGTAAATAATAAATTGTTAATTATCAGCCTGTAGCTGTCCACTACTGAACATAGGCCTCTCCAAGTGATGTCCAATGCGGCCATTCCGTTGCCGCATACATCCAACGTAGCCCAGCGATTTTCACTAGGTCCATTTAATTTAATAAAACTATCCATGATTTTCAAAGAGTTGGATAAGAGAACACAATTCAATTATACACCTTATTCTGACTTACTCTTATCAACTGAGGTTTCTATACAGTAAGCAGCCCAAGAGCTTTCAGGAAATTGACGAAATACACCCACATGTCAAGCTAATCTAAAAGCAGTAGCAGGTTGAATTTATCAAAATGACAAAAAAGTTTTGATGAATGTAAAGTGAGAAAATTTTCCATATTTATTTAGCAAGATTTTACGGTAGGTTTTAAATTTATAAATTTAACAACTTAATTTAGTTTTAATAACTACTCTACGACTTTATTACAAGTGTTGTTTCGGTGATAAAACTTTTGTGATTCTCGTTACCTCGAACGGGTGAATAATAGAATTTTATGCAGTATAAACTCTTTTTAATTGGCATCGTATAAGCAATCAAATTCACGCTCTGGCTAGCTGGTTTAAAAAGTTATGCCCGAAACCACAGACAACACAAATATTAAGCGCGCCATACTTTAACTTGTGACGATGACCCGATCGCATTAGAATGAAAAAGGCATATATCTCTCCAAACCGGAACGGACCACTGCTTCTTCGGATAAAAAGGCCTACCTATATACCTCAAGAATTAAATTAAATTTTTCTGTGGGCTGTATAGGTTCTTGGGCAAGTTATCCCCATTCCCGGCGAATGCGAGGCCGGAGGATATGTAAGTCATAAAAACGTACACACGATAGCAACCGAACGCTTTGGTAACGCTTAGCTGTCCTAGCAAGCACGACCTGGTACCAAAGTGCTCAATACGAATGCCGATTAGACTTTCGAATGGCTCTCGAATGATATAAGCGACTGCTTGCGTCTATGACATAAGAAACGTCAAACGTCAAAATGCGAATTAAAATTGCAAAAAGGTTTTTCAAGTTTTTTTTTTTTTTCATTAATTTGACAGCCACTTCGAAAATCATTATGCATATACGTAATCGACCCGATCAATGGCTTCACACAAAAAAAAAAACATGCAATAGATAACATTAAAATAATTTAGTACACAACCTTGCACAGCCGGACGTATAGACGCCACTGTAATGCTGAAATATTGTATTGAACACAGTATGTAATTTGATTAAATTGTAAATGTCCGTGAACGAGATTAGTGAACGTTGACATAAATACTTCACTATGCATGTTGTAATACCGACGACTCGCTAATAACGTAACTCGAAACATCCACGATTACGTCTGTACGATTCTGCGAAACGAAAATTAGCTTCAAACAGTAATCTATGGCATTTTTTTTTATTTACAATCAAAGGGATACATATTATTATGCCTATCTAAAAAAAAGTAATAAATATCGCTGAATCGTCCAAGACGTATCCTGTTCGAGAGCTTTCCAACAAGAACACAGCACAGCACTCCACCGCCTCAGTGTAACACGCTGCGTCCCTTTGTAGGCAACCAATCATTGCGTCGAGCTCGTCAAGCTCACACAAGTCAGTCCAGGACTCTGAGAGGCCAGGGTCTGACACAGACAAACGCGGCCATAAATGGAGGCACGTCCAAGCTGTCATGGCATACTACCAGGCACTCAGGAAAATTAAAAGGTCCGATAGACGAACGGGTAATGCCGCATCGTTGTCGATTTTGTATGTTTGTTTATTTCCCACTAATGTGCTACCTTCGTCTGCGTAGGTACTTCGAGAATGTCCTCACTGGTTGTGTGTTTATCTTGTGATAATTGTGCCTTTACTAGTTCACTTTAAGAAGTCTCCTCTACCTTCCTGTTTTCACTTGGAGAACGACTTTCGATGTTACTCTTTGATGCATCTTAATGTTTTCGATTCAGTATTATGTATAGACGGTGTTTTATTTAAACTAGAAACTTAGAATTAGATTTAGAGGAAACTATTATAGTTCTAACTCACTGAATCTTCACTCTACAGATCGTAGGCATATGTTTTGTTTATTTATTATATAGTATGGTGCGTTGCAGCATGTCAAAAAGGTAGATTTATTGCACGTTACAATACATACCTATACTATTGAACACTAAATTCGCAGTGCACCGATTCTAAATAAATCCTTCTATTCAATTCTAGATATAAAATATTCCAGCATAACTAGATGTTGCATAGCTGAACTAAATAAAATTGAATATTGAATTAATCAGGATGTAATTTTTCACGAACCTTAACCAATAAATTTCTGGAAGCATGGCTACTTTTGCTTAAACACTCTCCCTAAGTGGGAGCGTTCGATGACCTGATTGTGGGAACTTGTTCGCAATCGCGCCTGTCACAATCGACAGTTGCTATTGCTATCAATTAACGCAACGAGGTCTTTCCAGTAAGTTTTGATGATTAATCCCTTTTATTTTAAATGATACAGAACAAAATCGAATCAGAGATGGATGAAGTTGAGGACCACAGTGCAATTGAGTTCGGCTATACAAAAGAAACCGCCTTTGAAAAGAGAAGATTCTTTTTTGAAAAGATTTTCGACCAGACAGACGCCTGCCACTCAGGAGACGGTACGTCATAGTTTCATATCGTAAAATCACTTTTATTAAAGCTTTGACCTTTCTTCAGTCTGAGCGACACCTGGATTTGCATCTCCCTTTGCGAATATATATTTTTAAAAGAAAAATCAAAATTTATTCTAAAACTTCGAACCAAATTTAATCAAATATATCTCAAAATGAAACTGGAATAGAGTCTTATTTCCTTCACTAAAATGATGTAAAGATTATTCACGAATGCAAAACTGAATTTGTAATAATATTCACTCCATATGGCGCAATGAAGTTTAGACCTAATTCTTAGAGCACAGTGGTTCTTATTGCCTTCAGCCCGAACACAAAACAGATCTAATGAAAGCCCCGTCTAGAGAGATATATTGTAAGCTAGTCAACATGCAGGCTGGTGCCAGATGATGTGACATGGAAGTCAACATCAACTATGAGATAACCGTTGAATGGCTCAATTATTTGAATACCTCAATAGATCCAAATGAAGTTTTAAATAAAAAGGTCACAAGTGACCATTGATTTCAAAGTCCTTAAATATATTGAGCTAGTACTTAGTTTGGAAATTGAGAGAGTTGTTGGGTTGATTAGGCTGATTAGCACTCCACCACTAGACATTTCTTTGCATAAGGTTTTGAAGAGCCTTGCCTACTGACAGCATTTTGGTTATCGATACCCATGAGAAACAGGGACTCATACAAATTAGTTTGGACCTACGTTTCTCTGGTATCTAAGCTAATAAAGAATCAATTCGTCGGCTGTCTGGTGTAGTGGTAAGTGACATGGTCACTACACAAGGAGGTCGCGGGTTCGAATCCCGCCAAGGGAAGATATTTGTATATAAAAAAAAGTCTTTTCCAAGGGTTATCGATGTATATTAAATATGTGTATGTGTATAATAAAAATCTCACATTTATTTCCGTTATCTGGTACCTGTAACACAAGTTCTATACGAACTTACCACGGGACCAGTTAACGTGGCGTGATTGTTAGTAAATATTTATTTTATTTATTTAATTAATTTGAAACGTTTTTTTTTTTGGCAGGTCGAAGATACAGGCTCGGAGGGTGCAACTGGTGAACATAGATCAACGAACCGTCACAGAAGGCGTAAAGTCCGCGCCCCGCGCACTGTCGTGAACCCCGACGAGAATTTTTACTTCTACTGGCTCTGGGTGATCACCATCTGCGTGCTCTATAATCTGTGGACGCTGATCGTGAGACAAAGCTTCCCTGAGTTACAGGTAATACAGTTATGATACATCATAATGTCATTATATACGTTTAATTATTAGAGGTTAAAGAATGAAATTGCCAATTTGTACTGAAAAATTGAAATTCGTTTTTTTTTTTCGTTTAACATATTTATTTAATTAAAATATCTACCATTACTATCTATACATTGCTGCCATCTAATAAGAAGGCAATTTATACCTTTGCGATAGAACTCTGGCAAACTGTGTAAAAGCATTTGTACTGCCTCCTGGGAAGACAACTTTTTATCACGTAGAAAATTGTCCAAATCACGAAAAAAATGGTAGTCCGTTGGAGCAAGGTCTGGCGAATACGGAGGGTGACGCATGGTTTCTAATTACAGTTCCTGTAGAATTAAAACGGTTTCTCGTGCTGTATGAGGTCTCGCGTTATCATGGAGCAATAATGGTGAAAGATCCATTCATGAGTCGGGGCCGTTTCACTGCAAAGTTTTGCTATCATTGTTCTGAGTTCGGCACAGTAGACATTTGCCGTTATTGCTTGACCATATTGGAGAAAGCTATAGTGAATAACACCATGCTGAGACCACCAAACAGTTACCATTACCTTTTTATTGGTAAGCTTTGCTTTAGTACACTGTTGCGGCATTTGACCTGGGGTCAGCCATTGTATTTTTCACTCACGGATATCGTAAAGAATCCACTTTTCATCATATGTCACAATTCGATCCAATATTACTTCATTTCTGTATCGATTCAACAAAGCAACCCAAGTTTCAACACGCATTTCTTTCCGCAGATCAGGCAAATCATTTTTCATATTTTATTGTTTGACGCAAATGAGTCAATGTTGTTGGTAAGGTAACTTTAAACCATGCCGCTATTTCCTGGGTAGTTTGGCTCGGATCGGCTTACACCATCTCTTTCAATTCATTGTTATTCACATGTATGGGCGGTCTTTCACGCGGTTCGTTCTTCAAATCATAATTTCGATATTGCGAGCTGTTTCTGCAGCGTTAGTTCCACGTCGGAACTCTTATTAAAAAATCACTGGAATTTTTAAAGTATCCATCTTTCTTGTCTAAGCTGAATAAAATCGAATGTTGCACAGTTTTTAAAAGAAGAACTTCATAGTACCATTTGAAAAAATTCTCACTTAAAAATCCCAAACCATGAAGGTTCCATGTCAATTCGAAGTACAAAGTTACAATTAAATGGCAATTTCATACTTTAACCCTGTTATATGGCGAGACTATAAGTAATTCCGTGCAGCGTAATCTAGCTGTGCGACTGCGTGGAAATGCGCTGGAATATTGCAGATACAATTTCTCCGTAGTAAGCATCTGTTTTTCATGCAACGCGTTATATATTTCATTTATATATTTGTGGGGTAAAAACTTGCAATACGTCTACTATGTAAATATTAACATGCCTGATTGAAAATGAAACGTAAAAAGGTTTTTTTTTACCATGTGATATACAATATTGTAGACTTTGGACAAAGCGCATTAAATAAACGATTTTCCTAAAACAGTATAAATGGTAAAATACTTTGAAGAAAATTAAGGGATTTTCCGACCGCAATACGGTTGGTGTTAGATTTAACCCTTTGAGAATACTCCTGACCCTACAATTCGGATTAAACATAGTGCAATCTTATTCTGAAAGGGTTTGAATATGAATGAAAAAAAAATGTTTTTCTTCAAAATGTGAGTTTCCATTCTTTTCTCCCAGTTCAAGCTATAGCTATTAATTATAGTGGAGTCACTAAAGACTATCTATATTTTAGAAAAAAAACCACAAAATTCACGTTTAGGGGTACAATATTAGTCACACAGTGTATTTGCTTCTATGCAGGATACAATAGTAATGTATTTTTTTTAGCAGTTTCTATTCTATAAAATTAGATGATTAAGCGAAACACCAATTAAGACTTTAAGGTCTTTACTGGCACTTAAGTGCGTAAAGTGTAAACCGGTATAGTGCACCTCTTCCGTATCTCCGTTGCGGTTGGTAAAGAAAAACCTTGACCTCTCTCTCGTGTGGAGACCGTAACTTTTATTTTATTTAGTGCTAAAAAGAGATGACTAGATATCTAAGATGTCACATTGAAATAAATTTCTCGCTGTGAACGTGTTTAAAGCTCAATAAATATTATTCTTCATCCTCAATGTTAACAACTAACCTTAAGTCTTCATACAAAATAGATTTTACTTATTTTCATTAGAATCACTCGTCGATTCAATGTTATCATGATCGATTGAGGTCAGTTCACTTGGGACATGAGGTCGAAATTAAAAGTATATTTTAAGGTTGACTGTTCCATCAATCATGAACGCCATATCCAGGTCTGTGGCACCTTTCTGCATGGACTCATCATCCTCCTTTTTAAACTTTATTGCCTTCGTAGGCAAAAAAGTATATCCACCCTCCTGGTGGTTAATGCTAAGCACAGCCAAATCGCTGTCTATCGCCATAACGCAAAGTCAGTTAGGAATATTGCTGGGTATATTTTTATAACGCAAATTTAGCTTCTAAGCATGTTTATTAGGCCTCAGAAGTGTAGCCAATCGTTGTGTCAACACTATACCCTATTATATGTATAAAGCCCATAATGAATTGAACCAGACTATACTTTGCGACATTTTCGCAAGACGTTTATCTAAGTCGAATCGTGTTTCTTCCAGAATACTTTCGGTTCAAATGTAGTTGAGTTCCACAAAATAACACCTAGTATTATTTCCGAGAAAAACCTTTACTCTTTTGTGTTTATTTTCACTATGTTTTCCATTGGTATAGATTTGTTGCGTTGCGAAACCGGCGTTGAGGGAAATGAACTAAAGGGGCCAAATGGATTGTGCTCTGAAACGTACCCTTCTGCTTGGATAAGTTCGTGTTTTGTATTTATATCCGATTCTGGAGAAGTTGGAGCTATCGGAAACCTTTATTTTTACTTGTGAAGATGAAGTTTTGATTATCTAACTCTGTACCAAATTCTCACATGACATTCTGCGTTCGCACCTCGTTTATCGGAATGAGTGATTTTTATGCTTGTTAGAAATTCATGAGCTGTTCATATGTTGTTAATTTAGAATAATCGACAAGCAAGTAATTTCGACAATAATGCATTTGACAAAACCAGTATTCGCCCAATTATCAGAATTAGATCATAATCACAGACACCTCAATACTTTTATTTAGATGTTACGTTCTGTCTTTTAATTCTTGCATCGTCATCATCATTCTTTCCTATTACCCTCTGCTGGGGTCTAGGACTCGAATCAAATCCTTCCATTTACATCGGTCTTGGGCAGTCTGTTCTAGCTCCTTCCACGTCATGCCCAAGACCCCTATCTTCCGCTCTACCAAACGACGCTAAGTTGTTCTGGGGCGGCCTATCTTCCTTTTGCCAGACAATTTAATTCTTGCATATTATATTCAAAAAAATAGCCGATAAAATAGTACCTGTTTTATCTTAGTGTATTTAAATGCAAATATATCGCGTTAGATAGAGCCGGGTAGAGCTAGTTAGAGAATCGTAGCTGGATTGAAGTAGTTGACTGAGACGGACATTAAAATACACATACATTTGTGTTAAGTGATTTATAGTCTTATTGGTAAATCAAATGATTTAATCTTTTCGTAAGCTTCCCTTGAAGACAGAGAACGAGCATACGGCCCATTTGGTGGACGATGGTCCCCGCTGCTCATACACATGAGCAATACCTAACGCTCGCAAACTTGAAACAGTAAACGCTGACTGTAGTGTAATCATTATATTATAAACGTTTAACTGCTGTAATAATAATAATAATAAAATCATTTATTGCCTTTCATACTAAATAAAATAAAATATAAATCGAAGTTGTCGTGGCCTAAAGGATAAGACGTCCGGTGCATTCGTATCGAGCGATGTTGGAACGGTCTGTCTATGGGCTCTGAGAATGTCTATGGGCTCTGGGAGAAATTTTATGTTATTTATTGCTTATTGCTCTTATGTTTATTATTGCTTATTGCTCTTAGGTGAGTGAACGAGCTCACAGCCCACCTGGTGTTAAGTGGTTACTGGAGCCCATAGACATCTATAACGTAAATGCGCCACATTGAGACATGAGTTCTAAGGTCTCAGTATAGTTACAACGGCTGCCCCACCCTTCAAACCGAAACGCATTACTGCTTCTCGGCAGAGTGGTGGTACCCACCCGGGCGGACTCACAAGAGGTCCTACCACCAGTAAAAAGTGACCAAAGCGACCAGTGACCTGGGTCGTACCAACATCGACTACCCAAGGCAATACCAAAAAAGTACAAGCTTCTACGTCATATGTCACAAAACCCAATGAAAATTTAATAAAAATAGCATTATTTTCATAAAACACTTGTGTTATTAAAAAAATCTGATATACGAAAATTGTTTAAGTACGGATTATTAAAATAAAAGAATGCTGAACGAAGTGGAAAAGAGAATAACAGCAATTTGATTCAGTTAAATAGATGCTGTATTACTGAAATAAATTCCTGTGAATTTGCGGTCGCATTTATGCTAATACAATTATGCACCCTAGCGTAGGGTTGACTCCAAGCTCGTTTTCGCATCTACTACGCAAGTAAAATAGCAATAAACATGTAAATGACAGATTAAGGATGACAAATAAATTCCCCTACAAAACAGTTCGGTGACTGACTCGAAAAGACTGGCTATGTACTAAATGGTGCGCACATTTCGCTCACAGATATTACGCACAAAGCCGGGATGATCGTACGCAAAAAAAAAACCAGTAACTATGNCGCCACCCACCTCGAGATATAAGTTCTAAGGCCTCAGTATAGTTACAACGGCTACCCCACCCTTCGAACCGAAACGCATTACTGCTTCACGGCGGAAATAGGCGGGGTGGTGGTACCTACCCGTGCGGACTCACAAGAGGTCCTACCACCAGTGATTACGCAAATTATAATTTTGCGGATTTGATTTTTATTACACGATTGATTTTATTTTTATTAAACTGACTGACTCGAAAAGACTGGCTATGTACTAAATGGTGCGCACATTCCGCTCACAGATATTACGCACAAAGCCGGGATGATCGTGCGCAAAAAAAAACAGTAACTATGCGTGAATCTCTAACAATATGTAACGACTTCTATGAAAAAGAACCCACATTATATCCCCGGCCATAGGAAAGACCACATAGTATCTCCTGCTCTCTACAGCCGATAACGAATAAACAATAACATCGTTATTGTACCAGTTTATTGGTGGTAAGGCCTCTTGGGAGTCCGCACGTGTAGGTAGCACCACCCTGCCTATTTCTGAAGCAGTAATGGGTTTCGGTTTGAATGGTGAGGCAGCCGTTGTAACTATACCTGAGACTTTAGAACACATATCTCAAAGTGAGTGGCGGCATTTACGTTGTAGATGTCTATGAGCTCCGGTAACCACTTAAAGCCAGGTGGGCCGTGAGCTCGTCCACTCACCTAAGCAATAAAACAATAATATAAAAAAGTCTAAGTGCACTGCTAAGACAAGAATCGCAATTAAAATTCCAATTAAATCAAAACACAATATAACAGCCAATTATATAGCGTCAAGGTAACGTCTAAGAAAAACAAAATGTCCCATCCGTAACGTACTAATTTGTTTGTTTTCCTCTAAACGAGGGTACGTAATTTATGGAATAAACAGGAGATGAAGATCTGAACGTTATTTCATTACCAAATCCGGGTCGATCAATATAAGATTAAAACTGCCTTGTTACGATTTGATTATGTGAGTTCACATCACCGCAGTAGATCACGGTTTGGAAAATAGTACGTGAATACTTATTTGATAATTCAAGGTTTTTATTTGTTATAGAGTATCATAGTTATAGGCCCGAGGCCAATTGGACAGAACCGAATAGAAGGAAACTGTAACTCAATAGAGAAAACACCTATTAAGAGACTAAAATCAAATGAAATGGGTAACACGCGGTCTCAGAATTCTAAAATGTAAAAAAAAAAATGTAGCCATAGCACAATGAACACTTCGTTCTATCTTTTCAGATAGAAGGTTATATGGCCTTAGATGTATCCAAACATGAATCCTTGTGCCCTATCAGTAGAAACCAATTATTGTATACAATATTATTAAGTACATGGGCGTATTCTTTCAAAAGTATCAGTATGCACCCATAAATGTCATCTTAACAAGTAAACACATAATATTCCACACATCCCTAGTATTTTGTTTCCGCTATCTGACAATAGATGGCGTTATACTTCTAAAGCGTTCTAGGTGCTACTAGATCCTTCAATATTCGTTCGACTACTTGGCGATAGATGGCTTTACTCTTATCGGCGTAACAATACATTACATGTTTGATTTTATATGTTCGAAATGGGCCGACAATTTAACAGCCCGCTAAGTTGTAGATGATTCCTTGAACACATAGACACCATGATGCCGCCATCTATGACTTAAGATATACTACCTAGGCAATAAAAAAACAAAAAAAGGCAACGTTAATTATTTTATCTCAATAGTGGTCAGCCGGTAGTCAAAAATCAACTATAATTTATTGAAACTATAAGTTTGTACACTAATATGATTCTATTTTCAAAGACTATTATACTTCTATAAACACACATTTCGCCAAAACTCCACTTTAGACAAATATAAATAAAGACAAACAATATTTAATCTATTCTCAATTTGATCACAGACTATAAGTCATAAGAAAAGTTTGACAATAAACAAATAGTATGCATGCATGTGTGTATTAAATATATGGTAGTGTGTGTAATGTTTTTTTATTGATTTAATGTATTTTTTAAGCATAATTTAAAAATATATTAACATTCTGCACTCCTTCTCTACTTTCTCTATAAGTGTGCGAAATATCATACTCCTCCGACCGCGAAATTTTCGAAAAAAAAGGGTTAAAAAAATTTTTGTTCGCGTATTAATATATATAGATTACACATAGTTTCGTCGTAATTAAAGACAAAAGTGAAATATCCCATCTGGTCTTAATGACAGGTATTTTTCAGATAATGTGTCACACTTTTTGGGTATCCTGCGACTGCATTAGCGACGTGGTCTTCGCCCTCGACCTGATTGTCCAGCTAAGAACTGGCTACCTCGAGCAAGGACTTATGGTAAGCATTTATCTTTTAGATTCTTCTTCTTCTTTCAGCCTACAGTCGTCCACTGCTGGCCATAAACCTCCCTCAAGCCTGCCCACAACGATCGGTACTGCGTTATTATTATGTTCTACAAATTATTATTATATTAAAATATGTTATCTAAATTTAAATGGCGACCAATACATAAAGGTCTTTTGGATTGTTTTTGACCGCCATTCCCACCCTGCCTATTTCTGCTGCAACGCAGTTTCTGTTTGAAGTATAAAACAGCTGACGGCACTGTGATATCATCATACCAGATGATTAGTACCGTAAAATCACAGTTGAATCAAATAAAAATAACTTTGTATTTTTCGACATTGTTACTGTTCGTAGAATTTTTTTTTTAATCAGTCTTCTTTGGGAGGGTCAGGCCTTTACTAGCATCAATGGAGGATGGGAAGACTAAGAAGAATAGAAAATAATGTAAAACTGGGATGAATTCTACTAGGTAAACAGCGACAGTAACTCATGGATATGCCATCCTGTATATTTTGATAAGCAACCATCCAGATAGAACAATGATTACGAAAGATCCTTGGAATTGTACTAGAAAATCATTTACAGGTGTATGATTCTCTGAAGCTAGCCAAGCACTACCTGGCCTCGCGCCCGTTCCTTCTGGACATCGCAGCTCTGATACCCTTGGATCTGTTCCAGTTGAAGATCGGCACCAACCCAATCATCCGCTTCCCCCGATTCCTCAAGGTGAATTGGCGTAGTGCCAAATTGATATCTTGACATTTCGACATGACAATTTAAATTTTTTTTAGAATAATAATATACAATACCTCTATGTTCCATGCTGTACATAGTATACAAAATTGAGTTAGATGCGTTACATTTTCATACCCAACTGCTCAACCAATAATCATCAAATTTGGAATACCAGGTGTCAAGGCTTAGAAAAAAAGTATTAAGTTTTTTCTAAAATTTACTTGAGCTAAGCCTCAGATACTAACTACTACTACAATTAAGTTGCGATAGGTTGCACTCCAGTGGTCAAGCCACTGATATTTTACACACAATTAGCGACAGTCTGCGCTTAGCTTAGTTAGCGTGTGTAGTATTTACAGTATCATTGTTCACGGAAAAACTAACAATACTTGAGATTTAGGTTTCACCGTAACGATAAGACTATGTAATTTAAAAAAATCATTACCATATAATCAACCTAAATGAACCCGTTCCATTTCCTGGCCTATATCAACTGACTCGGAGGGGCAGCAGTTAGTGCCCATGACTATATCTATCTATTTCCGATCAATAAATCAGTGCACATCATTTTCCCTGTTGATGCCTGTAACAAAATTCCAAGCAGTAAATACAGCGTAACCAGCAGGCATGCGAAATTAAGAACCAATATTCAGTATTTACGACATATAAACAGGGATTTTCAAGAGTAGATAAAATTGTTATCCAATAGTCGCGGCTTAGTTTGTGTAAGGTGAAGTTAGGGTAACCCAAGACAAAGAGTTGAGGGAAAATCTGGAACATGATTTTGTCTAGAACTTGCTACAAGGGTTTTAATTTTTAAACTTAAAGCAAGCAATTATACAGACAAGAACGAACTCGCCTGTAAGATCTGTCTGCAAACAAAGTCAGTACTTCCAAGGATTATATCCAAACTAATTAAATCAGATCACAATAAGTAAACAAAACTTTTGTTTTCACTCAAACAGAACACCTATTGTAAACATAAACAAAGCCTTACTTATACAACCTGGTTAGTCTAATTAAAACTACAGTTGAATCTACCGTTTTCTGTTCTTACTCCTTCGTTACAGGAGTTATCATTATTATTTTATTGTTTCTGAGGTTTCAAATATTTTATAGTTTTCGCGGTCGATGTAATTAAATAAATAAATATATAATAAATAAATATTTTAATAACAATCACGCCACGTTAACTGGTCCCGTGATAAGTTCGTAAAGAACTTGTGTTACAGGTACCAGATAACGGAAATAAATGTAAGATTTTTATTATACACATACATATATTTAATATTTAATATACATCCATAACCCTGGAAAAGACATTTATATTTATCATACAAATATCTTCACTTGGCGGGATTCGAACCCGCGACCCCCTTGTGTAGTGACCATGTCACTTACCACTACACCAGACGGCCGTCTAAAACTTATTATTTTATTGTTACTGAGGTTTCAAATATATTACAGTTTTCGCGGTCGATATAATTAAAACTATTTTAAAGGTCTAATCGTACGTTCAATCATTTAATTTTATAATTTTCAACGTATCGAAAGGATCGTAGTTTCGACGGATCTTTAAATAAATAAAAATATACTTTTTTTTTTGGGAAGCTTAAGGCTACCGTCACTATAATAAATAGAACTAATGTTTTATTCGTATTAAATATTTTGAATTGGGCTAACTATCGTATATTTTTCTACAAGTATGGTTTTTTCAAATTCACGATCTTTTACTTGGAAAAAACTAACGATATTTTGAGATCCAGGAGCTTGATTAACTTGAGTTTTCGTTTTCTAAGAGGCTGCCGGGTTAATTCGAACCACATTTTAAATATATTTTTTCCTACCTATGCTGATAGCCTTTAGAGACTATTTCAGCTTACCCTAGCGTGTGTAGGTGAGCTCACGGGGCTCAAACCGGAGAGTTGCTAACACTGACCCTAGCAAGAGCAGTGCTTCGCAGAATCTACCACCGGATCGGAAACGCGGCCCACTGAGAAGATCCGGCGAGAAACTCAGTGGGCTGTGTCTGTAGGTTAATTCGCTCGTCGAGCCCTTCGTCGCAAGCGACGGGTTCGACGAGGACGGTGACCGGCATTTTAATTATCTGACGATATACAATTATGATATAAGGTATGTAACTGACATAGCCCGAAGGATTACAAGATTGTAGTGGCAATAAGCAGGACACATTGCTTGTAGAACAGATGGCCGGTGTTGTCGCTGCCATTGAAAAGTCTTCGGATGGCGACCATGTACCGAAAAAACAGCGTGGGTAGGCCTCCCACGAAAAAAATATGCAAATAACGGACCTTATAATCCAAATGCCAAAAAGATCTATACTAATAAATGGAAAATAATCACTCAATTATTATTTTATTTATTTGGGAAACCAAGAGTACAATACAAACATAACATTTTAAAAAATACGTACAACAATAACCAAACATGTTTCCACTATCAAAATCACATATAAGTAAAAAGTGAACAGAGAAGAAAAATTTAGAACTTTAAGTTACAAAAAACAAAAGCAACACAATACGCACATATTATTAAGTACATCAACTTACACAATAAAACTATAATACTCATAGGACTAAATCACCTTATAAATATTCCAAAATAGCTTTTCTATATGCTACAAGTGACAGTTTTCTGTGTCATAAACCCGACCCCTCGGATAGCGGATAGCGCAGTCTTGCATACTTAACTATGCTCACATCCAAATGTGGCAGGAAAATTATATTGAAACTAGCCATACTCGCCCGCTTCGCTGGGTATTTAAAATTAAGATTATTATTTATTTTCATTATTATTAGCGAGTCCAAAATTCATATAAATATTAGCCAACCATTAAGTACATGTATTTTCTACATGGATACCAAGTTTCAAGTCAATCGGATGCATGGTTCAGTAGTTATAATGGAACATCCATAAAAACTACTGTATATTTATATATTAGTAGTATGGATAAACATTTGTTTCGGCTTCAAATAGTTCAATGAAATTTAAATGCTTTTTAATTCGCTCAGAATTTTCTTCGAAGAAATATCTATTAGGCTTCGCTTTTAACAATGTGCACTTGACGTTTCTCCCCTTTGTGCCGAGGTCTCTAGCGATCTTTCATATTCAATTCGATTAGAATCTTACAAGGAGCATTTCGTTTACTTTCTTATGTTCGAAGCGAGAATCTAAACGACTTTGGTTTTGTGTATTAGTCATGTATAAAATTGTTTTTTTTTTGTCCAAATTTAAGGCTTCAGAGATACCTCTTGTTGTGGAGGCGTGCAGGAATTCGCCAGACTTTCTTTAAATTAGCTTATCGTCAACATAATTACCCTAAAATATGTTTAGTTATAATAGAAATAATAGAATAATTTGTTGGCTTTCACACAGATTTAGCTTATTTATAGTTTAGTTATTGTTTACGATTACGTAAAGTATAAAAAGTGGTATTTTCAAATTTTGAATCAACAGTCGTACTAATAGAACTAATTAGAAAATAATTAGAGCAAAAATAAACTAATACAATACCTATAAAATAAACTGTATAGTTTTGACCTAGCGTGTAATTTAAAAAAAACGTGTGGCACTCGGGAACTGCCGCGGTAAAGCTATTTTATAGCATTTTTTATCAACTTATGCAATTATAATTAGACAATGATAATTTAATATTAAAACAATAATAAAATAAGATCACGCTATATTAAACATTAATAAAAGCAAAACCTTAACTGTCCCCTTCACACTCATAAGCTAGACCGCGTGAGAGAGAGATGGGCAGACTTTTCATGATGCGCATGCAGTGTCACGTCACGCCACGCGCTTATTCACAAACACTACACAAGCGCAACGTGTGAATGTGTTCAACGCGAGCTACATGGTAGGCGGAGTGAGGGGTGTAAGGTTTTTTTCGTTACGGAATTTGATGATTCGGTCGCCGCGCTCAAGGCCCGCGTTAAAATCTATGCAATAGCTTAAAAAGAATATATATTTTTCTACTTTTGTACTTTCGAATATCTGCATCATTAAGCTACGTTGTAAAGGTATATCTTTGACATGAACACGTCGAAATGTACTGAGCATTTTAAAGATCGCGTAATAGTGTCGTCCGATCTCTTTGAGGACTCAAGCGGATCTGATTTCAAACGAGTTGATTCACAAACGTAATGACAAAACATGAAAGTTATTCAAACAGATCTTTTGACTTCTGAAATCTCAGTGCAGTTTTTTTAGTCTAACAAGACAATTTCTAGATATTCAAATCGAAGCTTAAGTTACACTTTTTATCTCTTTTAAAGACAGACGAGCATATGGTCCGTTTGATGACGATTGGTTGTTGACGTCAGCAATTCCACAGTTAAAGCCAAGCCGATGCCTACCTTCTTCAAATGAGGCTTGTGGAGAGTACTTAACAGTAGGCAGTGGCTTGGCTCCGCCCCTGGTATTGCTCATGTCCATGGGCGATGGTAACCACTCACCATCAGTTGGGCCGTATGCTTGTCTGCCCACAAGAGCAATAAAAATGAAAAAAAACTTGCGCTATACAAAGTTCGGGAAGGATCTTAACACGTTGACAAAGACCTACGTCCTCGCAAGGCTCCCGGTTCCGACGGTATATCTAACCGCGTTATTAAACTTCTACCCGTCCAACTCATCGTGATGTTGGCATCTATTTTCAATGCCGCTATGGCGAACTGTATCTTTCCCGCGGTGTGGAAAGAAGCGGACGTTATCGGCATACATAAATCCGGTAAACCAAAAAATCATCCGACGAGCTACCGCCCGATTAGCCTCCTCATGTCTCTAGGCAAACTGTATGAGCGTCTGCTCTACAAACGCCTCAGAGACTTCGTCTCATCCAAGGGCATTCTCATCGATGAACAATTCGGATTCCGTACAAATCACTCATGCGTTCAACAGGTGCACCNGTTAGTTATAATCATACGATATTTGTTTCTTGTGAACACTCACTTTTGAAATTGCCTGTT